CGCGCCACCCAGCCCTCTTTCCGCCACGTGCACGCATCATCACCTGCCCTTTTTGTCCGGCAACTCGACGTGAAGCAGTCAGAATCGGGGCCCTCCACCCACACCGGCTAATGCGCCCCAGACACGGGACTCACCCGCACCTGCTCGACGCGGCTCTGTCGGTCATGCCGTCCCTGGATGGACCGAGCGCCTGGGAGAGACGGCGCTGGGAGAGGGAGGAGTGGTGGGACCCGGAGTGCGCCGGGGGAGTCGGGTTACGGCGGCTTGTCTGATTGGGCTTTTTTGGAGCGGCGGGCTGGGAAGAGCCTCGTCCACCGGGCGGCAGGTCACGAAGTTATATTTGAACGGCGCAAATACCTTGCCCTTACCTGATCAGCCGGTCGTGTGCCTGGCCAAGGGCAGAACTCTTCTTTTCGAAGTCCGGCAAACCTAGCATGAATCCCCCCAAAAGTCAAATACAAACCGCATCCTCAATGAAGGCACAGGCTGGAATTCTATTAGGCTGTCAGTGAATTCTCAACTTTACGGAATTGTAGCCAAACTGGAAAAGAAGCTGAAGTTTGTGCTTATCCAGCGAAGCGTTTCTTGTCTGTACATTCATGGTTGAGAAAGTCATGCCTACCATCAGACTGCTTGGCAGAGAAATATATAGTTTTGGCAACATTTATGGTATTTTTTAAGTGTCATAACCAGAATTTTATTACAATGCCATTACCATTGACAGGCTTTTTTAACAGCAACCAAGTAGTGGGATATCCCCTTTATGAAATATTGTATTTGGGGGCTCTCCTGTAAATTCAGGGCAGCAGCTCTTCTATGGGGTTTAAGTGTCTGCTGCACATTTGGTGTTAAATGTCAAGGTGGAGTGTGTGAGCAGACCTTAAGCACTATTAAAGACATCCCATCATTTTCAGATTGAACATCATCAGCTGCTCCTTATAGCAAAGCAACACCTCTATCAATATTCACTGCTGGTGTGGCCCTTCATGCTGTTCTGCTGGGCCACATGGGTGTGGCTCCCCACACCACTTTTCGAGCTCCACCAACATTGCTGGGCCTGGTGCTGCTAGTGGAGGAGGGCTTCTCCAGCCTGAAAACCACAGCAGCCTCCCAACCTGTGCCTGGAGTTCTGGGTAAGTGTGGGGAGGGCTTTGCCAATCCTGGACACTTCAAATTTCTGCACTGGCTCACTTTCAGAACTCTCCGTAGCCATGTCCTGCACTGGTGTTTGGCCCTTATTCCCAGTATATCTTTGCTGCTGTCTTTTGCTCCACCCACAACCTCATCCATTCAAATGTCTCCTGCTTTCCTAAATAACCCCATCCTCGCTGCCCCATGTACCTGGAATATCCAGGATACTTCTTGTTTTTGCATCAAAACGTACCCTTTTCATAAAATCATTGACTGTGGGTGTAACCACACTTTACATTTTCCACATGTCTTTCCCAGGTTTGCCCTGAGGACTTTCAGTCCCTCACTGCCTGTGACATTCCCCACTGGGAACTCAGTTTGTGTGCAGGGGCCCGGTTCGGAGTGCAGCACTTGAGGGTAAGGAGAATGGGCCATCCCCTGCACTGCTTTCCCTA